GCTTTGAATTTTGGTGTACCTGAATCTGTGCGGTCTGATGGTTATGTGAATTATTCTCATTTAAAGGTATTTGGGTGTGCTACTTATACTCACCAAAATGTTGGGAAATTGGAACCTAAATCCTTTAAATGTGTTTTCTTAGACTATGATGAACATGTTAAAGGTTACAGATTGTGGGTTAAATATGAAAATGGGTATAAAGTGATTGTTAAAAAGGATGATGTTTTTAATGAATCTTTAATGCCATGTTTAGAAGGAAAAGATAAGAGTTTGACTGATAATGATGTTCAAATTGAAGTGGAGTCTCCTCATATTGAATCTGCAAATTCTGCACCTTTAGTAGATGGAACTGACACTCCAACTGAAACTAATATTGATCAAATTCCTGAATCTGATTCTACTGCTCTCCCTACTTATGGGTATCAGCTCATAAGGGATAGGGAAAGGAGGCAAATCAGACCATCTACTAGATTTGGCAGTGATGATTTTGTTTCATTCTTTACCTATCAAGAACATTTTGAAAATGAACCAAACTCCTATGATGATGCCATAAGATGTAAGGAAAGTAAAAATTGGATTGTATGAACCAAACTCCTATGATGATGCTATAAGATGTAAGGAAAGTAAAATTGGATTGCTGTCATGGAAGATGAAATATCTTCACTTTTGAAAAACGAGACTTGGGAACTTGTTGAAAGGCCAAAGGGACATAAATTAATTGATTATAAGTGGATTTACAAAATAAAGTAAGGGGAAGGGGATAGTAAAACCATTAGATACAAAGTTAGACTTGTTGCAAAAGGTTTTACACAAAAAAAGGTATAGATTATACCGAGATTTTCCCGTTTGTTGTGAAATACTCCACTATTAGATGCTTACTTGCTTTAGTTGCTCATTTTAAATGGGAATTTGAACAATTGAATGTTAAAACTGCTTTTCTATATGGTGATTTAGATGAAATTATCTATATGAAACAATATGTTGGTTTTGAAGCTAGAAATCCTGATAATATTGTTTGCTTGTTAAAAAGGTCTCTATATGGTTTAAAACAGGCTCCTAGACAATGGTATAAGAGATTTAATAACTTTGTGTTAAATCTTGGTTTTAAAATAAACCAATTTGATGTCTGTCTGTATTTTAAAGGTGATGGAGGTGAACACTATTTATTTGGCACTTTATGTGGATGATATGCTTCTTGCCTGCTATGATAGAGCTGAAATTGATAATATCAAATTAAAACTGAAGTATGAATTTGACATGAAAGACCTTGGCTCAGCTAGAAGAATTTTAGGCATGCAAATTTGGAGAAATAAAGAAAAAGACTTGTTATTTCTTAATCAACATGATTATGTGATTAATATTTTGAAACAGTTTAATATGTATGATTGTAAACCTGTAACCTTACCTCTGTCAAACCATTTTAAACTGTCTTCTGATTTCTGTCCTAACTCTGAAGAGGAATATGCTAGAATGTCAAAAATACCTTATGCAAATACTGTTAGTTCTGTGATGTATTTGATGATTTGTACCAGACCTGATCTCGCATTTGGAATCAGCATATTGAGTAAGTTTATGAGTAATTCAGGGGAAGACCATTGGAATGCTCTAAAATTGTTATTTAGATATCTTAAATGCACTTCTAATTTGGGTTTAATATTTAAATATAGTAAAAATGGTGTTATCTTGAGGGGATATACAGATTCTGATTTTGCTGGTGATAAAGATAATAGGAGATCAACTTCTTCTTACTTTTATACTTTGTGTGGTACTGTTGTGAGTTGGAAATCTCAGTTACAAAAAGTTGTAGCTTTATCTTCCACTGAAGCAGAATATATTGCTGCTATAGATGCTGTTAAAGAAGGAATATGGTTAAATGGATTGATTTCTGAACTTGGTTTTGCTGAAAATGATATTCTTTTATTATCTGATAACCAAAGTGCTATACATTTGAGTAAAAACCATATGTTTCATGATAGAACAAAACGTATTGATATTAAATATCATTTTATAAGAGATATCATTTCCAAAGGGATTATGAAGATTGGTAAAGTCCCTACTCAATTCAATCCATCAGATATGGGAACAAAAATAGTTCATTTGAATAAATTTTTAAACTGTTTAAAACTGTTATCCGTTGAATCTTTGTGATGTCTATACAGGTATTTTTTTGAGCAAATGAAAATAGTATGAAATTGTGTTCTGGACTACACTGTGGCCCAAATTCTGGTAGCAAAGTGGAGATTGTTGGAATTGAACCGTGTTCAATTGGCTACTCCCATAATTTTGGCAAAATCGTGTATTTGAAAGTGCAACTTTTACTTATACTAAAGGCTTCACTGGATGGTTGACATGTGGACCTATTGCAGCCGTTGGATTGCTTTCTGGATGGTTCTAATACTTAATGCCATTTCATTTGGCAATATCTCTCGAAGAGTCGATTTCTAGGGTTAATCCCATTCTCTTGTTCTCTCTCTCTGGCTGCGCCGCTTGAAAACTTCTCTCTGATTCTTCTTTGTAAAATTCAAATCAAATCCCTGATTTGAGTTGGTATTGTGTAATAGAGTGATTCCTTAGTGGAGATATTCTGAGTGAATATCTGTGTGAAGTGTTCGTATGGCTGTGTAGTGGATTCTGTTGGCTTAGTGTACGATTCTTTGTGATTCGAGTGAATCAACTGTTGTATTGTGAGAGATAAGTGTTCTTGTACTTTCTTTGTGATTGTTTTGAACATTCTTGTAACCTTTGTTGCAAATTTGGGCTTTATAGTGAAATCGAGCATAATCCATAATATTGGATGCTCAACGGGGGATGTAGGTGTTGGATGTGATCATCGAACCTCCGGGGCTTAGGCCGAAACATATCGATTGTGTTTTTTAAATTCTGCACTTTATTTTCAGTGAACAAACTTTGTACTTTTTGTTCTTGATCTAATATCGTGTGTCCTGGCCTAACACAAACAATTTAAATTTCATATTAAAAGTTATATGTAACCATCAATGTTAAGCATATATGATCAGCAATTTTATACAATTAAATGATTGTACCATTTGTATTGTTCCCAAAACTGTCAAATGTGACGTACGTGACATGCGAAATTGTGATATTTGTATTAATTAGATTGTATTCATGTGATATATGAAATTGTGGCTTTATTATGTGTGACGTAAAAAAGAAACACAACAATTGTGACATCCGTAATTTATGCATGACTACTCTATGGCCAATCACAACGACTGAAGAATGAAAGAAACAAGTATTTCCCTAAATAAATATTGAAGCCATAAGAATTCCGTCTTATATAATTTGAATTTCAAAATTCAAAAACCGAATATACGTTACCACAACTAACAAAATTGGGGACAAAATAAAAACCAACAAAATACCTTTTTTTTTAAATGAAAACCTAAAAGAATAATTTCCTCTAATTCTGTCTTTAAATGTGTGTGTGTGTGTAAGAGAGGGAGAATTTTAAGCTGATGCTTTCATTCTTTTACTTAAAAGTCTCTAAAAATATTTTAAACCATTTAATATTCTCACACGTCCAGTGAGCAGGGGCAGATCCAGCACCCGGGGAGTTGACGCGGACACCCTTGCTGGATCCGTCGAGAAAAAATAATAATTAAGAATTATATACACACACACACACACACACACACACACACACACTAGGTGCTAGCAACGTGCAATGCACGTTTACGTAATTTATATTTAATAGTTTTGTTTAAGAATTAATTTGTTATTAATAAAGATGTAATTTTTTTGGTTAATTAAATAATTAATGATGTAATGTTTATGTAATTGATAAATAATTAGATGTGTGATTTTGATGTTGTGATGTAAGTTGGTGAGATCGAA